TCAATGCTAGTTTTTAAATAATATGCACCTCTTCTACCATAAGGTTAACATGTCTCTCAAGACACAGAGATCCTAGGCTTCAAAATTAAAGATGCAGGTTACCTTCTGATGCTCCAAATAAAATATTATCTTTTCTACATAAGGTATACCAATCAAGAGATATAACCAATAAAGGTCTCTTATGAAATATCCATTAAAAACAAACCCCTGGCGATGGCTGGTGTGGCTCATTGGAATGCTGTGGGTTTGATTCCATCAGAGCACATGTGTAGGATGCGGGTTGAGTCCCTAGTTGGGGCACATACAGGAAGCAACTGATCGATGGTGCTCTCTCACATCAACGTTTTTCTCTTTCTCTCTACCTCCTTTCCCTTCTCTCTAAAAATTAATGAGCATGTCCAGGGGTGAGGATTAAAAAAAAAAAACAATAAAAAACTGAAAACCCTGGTGTAGCTTTCCTGGTTCCAAGAGAGCATGTATTTGAAATGGCAATTGATGGTAAATGAACTTGCCAGTTCAAGATGTCAACCCTCAGATTCCCAAATCACAGAGTTTTGCTTAACCTTCTATGACCATTTAGTCAATGGAAAATTAAAAGTGTAAGATTTTAAAGGCCCCCTTTCTTTCTCCTCCTAAGACCAATGGTTCTGTGTGTGATCTCCAGAGCAGCAGCAGTGGAGAATCACTAGGAAATTTGTTGGAAATGCAAATTCTCAGGCCTCACACAGACCTATTATATCATAAACTCTGGGGATAGGGCCTAGCAATCTGTATTTTTAACAAGCCCTCCAGATTACTCTCAAGCATGCCAGTTTGAAAACCACTGTTCTTAGCTGAGCAATGCTTTGAAACATTTGCATCTGTTTCTCTGCTATGTACACAGTTCTTTATAAGTAGTCATTTTAAGAATGTCTTCTCCATACTGAATTAATCTGATTGCTAGAAAGTACTTTTAATGACAAATTTCATTTTGCCCTCTCCAGTGTTTCATGAGTTTTGGTTCATGCAGCACTAGCATAAAGTTTAAATATAAATTGCTCTAATTTAGTAGTTCTTTAATCAAAGAACTTATATGCATATACATAACCCATGGACACAGACAATAGTATGGGGAAGGCCTGGGGGTGGGGGAGATGCAGGGTGGCCTCAATAAAGAAAAATTTTTAAAATAGCATTAAATGTCACGTTTCACTGACTCCATATCTTTTTAAATTTGTTTCTAAGAATATCCCTTGCCTTTTTCATATCTAAATCATATGTTATTCTAATCAGTAATGAGCCTTATTATTATTTTTTCTTGCACAATAATGCTTTATGGAGAATTGCACTACTTAGAGCTTTTATATCCTGTATTTTCTTTTAACAAAAATCCTAAATACTTCAGGGTACAAGTTTTCTAATCTGTTACGCATTTTAATTAAATAATACTTATTCTTTTGCCCAGTTTCTACAGGTTGCACTGTGAAACTAATGTGTCAGCAGGTACATGTGTTAAATTCCTTTTTCTTCCTTCTATTGTCTGATAACAAATGGAAGTGGGAATGCTAAGAACTGTCAAAAAGAAAGTAAATGAATTCTTTGTCTTCCTCTGCACAGATGCACTCAACTCACATTTCCCAAAGGAGAAAGAAGATATTCAAAAGGAAATAAGGGTTGCAATAGATATAACAAATGTGTAAGGAATCAGGATGTTTGAACTCCAAGGTCAGATAGCAGAATTCTGGATGATGTGGTAAGAAAGAAAAACACTGAGGGCTAGATGGCAATCTAGGACACACAGCACACATTTCAGACAAGTCTGCAGCTGCATTTAACAAACATGTGCCTGCTTGTTTCAAATTAGAATTTGGCAATTAGTAACCTATTTAAAACCTTTCTCAAATAAAGGGTGAAATGGAAGAATATCAGTACTTACATTTTAGGAAAGATATCTAGGAAAATTATTTTAAATCAAAATTTTAAAGTGTCATTATTTAAAATATAAAGTTACAATAGAGAGAACGCTTATAATATTTTTCCAGGCAAAAACAGAATAAAGGAAAAAGCCCTAAAGTTAAAACTAAATGTTTGAATTACAGGGATATCCAGAGACATTTTAGCCAAATAACAATAAGGTTTTCAAATAGACAGATAACCTGTCAGGTCAATAAGAACTGTATGCAGCAGGAACTACTTCAATGGATTGGGACTAGGCTGGAGGCAAACCCAAAGGCAGCCTATTTTTTTTAAAGTGCAAAATGAGAATGACAAAATTGGAAGAAGTCAATAGGAAGAATGAAAAAAATTTATTAGACAAGTCACAAAAACTGGCCAAATTTAACAGTCTTTACATCCAGAATGCAAAGAAGAAATGAACATTCTCTAAAACTACATTAGAGAGAAGAAGACCCACAGGGGAAATGATCAAGATAAAAATTCTAGTCCTTAACTGGTGAAAGCAAACATGGATTATAAAATTATGTATGAAGGGGATTCGAGTTGTGACTTAATATTTACATGACAAATATCATTGCTGATACATTTCCTAGCAACAATAAAATCTATAACTTCTCTAAACAGTTCTTCATAGTTCTGCATTCATAAAATACTATCATTAATCTATTTCCTATGACCAGCATGGTAGATAGGTAAGAAAAGGAAAGGAAAGCAGTTATAAATCAAGAAACTAAGAAATACATGCTAATTTTAACGACTGAACAAAGAAAACTTCCCCCCCAAATCACAAACTACAGCTTTATACTTTATACTTGTGTGATAACAATTAACATATCCCAAATGATAACCTTATAAATTACCATACACGAGAATAATTCAGCTCTATATTAAAATGCGGTCAGTGATTTTTTGCATCTAAACAAAATACGGTATCCATCAGTGTTTGATTCTAAATTAGAGCCCCTTAGAACATTAAAGTTATTAAGAGCTTAAGGGGTCAGAGGGATGACAATATTTTACTTTAATCAAACATTTGCAACTAATACAGAGTGGCTCTGCTCTTGGAACAGGGCCACTGTATTTGATTCTTTCTTAAATCAAGAGGATACAAGATAGGAAGCAACTAGAAAACTTACAAAATATTTTGAAAAGAAATTATATTGAGTCCACTTAATCTTGCTAGAAAAAGAAATAAATGCAGGTGGCAAGGGAGAGGGGAAAAAAACAAAGTTTGGTACCACCTGTTCTCATTAAGAGAGGTATTGTTTTTTCACATTTAGCCTTACAATTTTGTTTTTGAAAAATGCTGTCCACCAATTCATCCCTCAGGGAATAATTATATACAATATTAAAAGAAAACCAAACCAAACAAACAAAACCATACCATACAAACCTGAAAGAAAAATTAATCTAAGATTCAGATGTTTATGAAGAAGGGACAGGATATCTTTAAGGATAAAAGAGTAAGCTTTATGATATATATTTTCCAAAACGGGGATACAAGTAGAAGAAAGTGCATAAGCATTTTATCAGTCCTTAATTAAAACAAAGAGGGATACCCATGACTCAGAGCAATAACAGTTGCCCATCCCCAAATCTATCATCAAGCCACCCTTGCTGATAAAGGATTATAGGTATAGTTCTAGTATTATTTTTTTCAGATAATATTTTTAGATAAATTTTCCACTGGTAAGAAATGAGTATGAAAAATTTTTGCTGTTGAAATTAAATGTTTCTGGTTTCAGTTCTTTTTAATGTTTTCCCTTTCCAGTTCTCCTCACCGCAATCCAGAAACCCTCCCATCCAGAGCTCATGTATTTTCTTTCTCTATTTTAGTGAAAACAAACCACGCTGATTATAAGATTCTTACTAGATTTCCATTTGTTTTGCCTCAGCTCCTACATTAATCCAAACAATAAGGGCCTTTAAAACATTCATAAATAACCTGCTGCTGCTGGCACCTAGGAGCTGAGTGCAGCAATGTTAAGCAACAACAAATTTCATAGTTCAAGAGGCACAGTTAAGGAAAAAGGTTGCTCAGGAAATCACTCTTATTTAGCACAAAGATCCTTAAAATTGCATGAAATCAGTCAAGTAACTATAGAAACCAATTTCTTCAGCTTCACATCACACGTCTCACACCTCAATTGTCTTTATTATTGTCTGCTGTCAGATCCTTAATCAGAAATGTGAACAGGCTTGATGATTTATTCAGCAGGGAAAAGAATCTGTAGGTCAAGTGAAAAATTTCACACACACACCCATACACACACATCTTCAACCTTAGGTACTTTCATTTCCTTCTGTTCTCAGCAGCTCTGGGGGCAACTCCAGTGAGATCCAATATTAAGGCTCAATTAAAATAAGCTCCAATTAGTGGAGCTTTTTTCTCTGGGGCTAGAAAAGTCAGGAAATGGATATTGGGAAATGTAAAAAGTCAGCTACTGAGAGAAGGCTGCAGACATAAATGAACTTATTTGTTGATTTCTACAGTTGCTATGCAGAGGCCTCTGGGAGTAAAAGCTTAACCAGTCTAAGCTATAAACTAAAACCCCTGCAGCTAAACATGAACTGTGTGAAACAAGGGCTCCATTCCAGAACAGAAAACTGCTGGGCCCAGAAAATTAAAAGCCAGAGGCGTTTTCCATTTAAAACTAAATCCCAGTACCGCCTCCCAGCCAAAGAATTATAAGCAGTATCAGATTTACAAAACGAACAATTACCCTGGAAAAATGTAGCCTATTGTACAGTCCCAGATGCTAAATCTCAGAAGTTACTTTTTTTTTTCTTAATCCCACATTATATCCCTCCAAGTGTGCTGCTGTAGTTTACAAAGAGCCATTTCTAGACAGGCCTAAGCCTTGAAAATAAATTTTAAAAAGAGAGCACATCACTCATTGACCTCATTTGAAGTACTGCCCTTGCCTTCAGCAGTTCCTGTCCTTCCCCAAGGCTTCTGCAAATGGTATGCAACAGCAAAATAAACCCTGACCTAATTGCCAGGAGAGAGAGCTGCCAGCCTTCCCTCAAACACAAAGACAAACATGGTAACTTGAAAGTCCTACCTCTTTGGCTTTCTGCTTTAATCTCAGTTGTTCTGGATCTTCTTTATTGGCACGACTCTATCAAAGGAAAAGAAAATTTTAATAGAAATTACTAGCATCTAAACACTATAGTTGCCGTTAAATATTTAATAAATGACAATTTTCTCTTGTGATTGAAAACCTTAGCTCCAGGGGGAAATGCCTCAATCTAGCCCTGTGTACTCTCTCCTTTACCACCCCGCCCTCTCATAGTCTGCACTGGCTGCTGCAATTCTAGCCCGGAGGAAGCTTACACTGAAAATGATGCTAACAATGTCAGGTCCAGTCGAGGCATGACGTTGTTCCTGTTGGAACACTGAAAACTAAAAAACAAATGGTACGGATGAAAGAAAAGAAAAGAAGAATAATTTCTGGCTTAAATGAATGAAAACAGTCAACACTGGCTAATCTTTAGGTAAAACCATTTTGGGGGGAAAAAACATATGGTATTTCAGGACTATTAAAATCAAGAACCTGACTAGCTTTGAACCAAATCTCTCTCTCTCTCTCTTCGAAAGTGTAATTAAAAAAAAATACATCCCAATGTTTCCATTAGAGTCTCTTACCATCTTTAGGTCCTCTATAGCACTTAACAGAATGCTATGCATAAATGTTCAATAAATGTTTGTTAAATGTCACTTTCCACACTGATTCAGTTTAGCATTCCAAAAATAAACAGTCTTACAGGATTGCTACAAAGAGAGCTACTTTCTATATGTAATGCTATAATGGAACAAAGGGTAAGAAACTTTATTTCTGATACCATGAACATTTGTCCACTGAAAAATATGCTTGGGATAGGTGTACCCTTCTTCTCATTCTAACAGAGATACCTAACTCCTTATAAATCTGAATATTTGTTTTATAAAATGCAACATCAGCTAATTATAGCTAACAAAATAAGAGCCAAAAGTATTTTCCTCTTTCACTAAGCTTACCTGATAGGTTTACTGGCTTATCAGTATTTTTTGTTAAAGGAAAATACAAGAAAGAAATTGCTTAGATTTAAGAGTGCCTTCTAATTTTAGACACAGCACCTTAGTTAAATATCTAATTAAGATTCTACCCAAAACTAGTAACTTTTTTCTTCATTTTTGTCCCTAACCTACTAAAAAACTTCATTTCAGCCCAAACTAAGACAAACTCCTATAGTATTCTACCTATAAGAGAATCAGTACATGTATATATGTATTTATATAAAAATATGTGTGTTTATGTATGTATGGTGTGTAATTTTTTGCCCCAGTATAAAATAGGTACTTGGGCATCAAGTCTTTGTCAGTCAACAATTTTTATTGATTATCCATAATACAAACTGTGCTCTGTGTGCCCCTGTTCTAGGCCTTGGAGATATAGAAATGAAATAACAAGACAAAGTCCCTGCTTCCAAGAAACTTACATTTTAAGAATAAGAATAAAACAACTTTATAAAAGTTAAACACACATAATATGTAAAACATTTATGATGGGGAAAATAAAATACAAATAATTACTGATAGTGACAAGAGCTATAAAGAAAATAATGTGACAGGAAGACAGACATGTGTGGGGGGGTACTTCTTTAGCTAAAATGGGAGGGAAGACATCTCTGAGGAGTGACATCTGAGTAGAGATCTGAATGGCAAGAAGAAGGCAGCCATGCAAAGATCTGGGGGAAGAACACTCCAAGCAGCAGGCACAATAATCACCAAAACTTAAAATGGAAACAAGCTTGGGATACTTGAGGAAAGAAAACAAACCTGTGTTACTGGAGCACAGAGAAAAGTTGAGGGAGATAAGGTTGGAGACCATGTGTTGCCCTGTAAGCCAAGATAAGGAATTGGTGTTTAATTTCAGTTATAAGAGCAAGCAACTAGAGTGTCTGGAGCACAGGAGTGCGATGCCACTGACATGACACTTAATGAAAGAGGAGCCTGGCTGCTATGCAAAGAGTGTAAGATAGGGACCCAAGACGGGTGGCATAGGCACACAGAGCAATTAGGGGAGTGTTCTAAAACAAATGTTGTGAATACAAGACTGGAAAAAGATGAGGGCCGCTTGGACTATTGTCAGAGAAGACGATGATAAGTGATTAGATTCTAAATATGTTTTGGAGGTACTGCCAAACAGATTCACTGATGGACTGATATAGGGGTATGAATAGAAAGAAGTCAAGGATGATTCCTAGGATTTTGTCTAAGCAACTGGGTGGGTGATAATTCCAACTTTGTGAGAGGATAAAGACCCCAGCAGATTTAGGGGGAAGGGACTCAATGTCTGGCTTTAGATGCCTAATTAGTAGTCTAATATTTTAAAGGGGGTGGGGAGGCACAAGAGTGGCATAATCAAAGAAAGATCACTGTGACTGGAGCAGAGTAAGTGAAAGAGTGAGTGATATAAGGCGAGCTCAGAGAAGGCGGGGGTGTCAGATCCTGTAAGGCCTTTTCAAATTTGGTACGAAGTTTGGGTTTTATTTTAGTGCAAGGGGAAGCAACAGAGACACACATGCCTTATTATGAAAGCATTATTTTTAAGATAGTATAAAAAATGGATTGTAGAAGAAAAAGATCAGTTAGAAAACATTATAAAAGTCCAGGTGAAAGGTGACTTAGACTAGAGTGGTGACAATGGTGATGAAGAAGATGGACACATTTCAGAAATAGAATTGACTAGATTTAAGAAGAGAAAAAAGAGTTAAAGATTAATCCTAGGTTTTTTCTGGCTTGAACCAGGTGAATAACGGTGTCATTTACTGAGGTAAGAAAGCCTATAAAAGTAACAGTATTTAGAGTGGGAGGAAAATCAGGAGTTCTTTTGGTCACATTAAATTTGAGATGCCTACTGGCCAAACGGGTGGAGATCTCAAGTAGGCAGTTAGCTATATGAGTCCGGAGTTCCAGAATGTAGACTGAGTTGGAAATATAAATCTATGAGGGAATACAGACAGACAAGAAGGCCTAGGACTGAATCCTGGAACACTCCCATATTTAGAAGTCTAGGTAGAGGGGGAAAAGCCAAGAGACAATGAGAGCAAGTATAATATATTATATCCAATAATAACTAAATATTTAATAGTTGTGACCTTGTTTACAGCATAGTAATTAGAAATAAAATACCAATAAACCACTTTATTACATTGGCTGTGTGCTTGCTTGTAATACTTGAAGACTCAAGGAAGAGCATATTCCTCTCCCAGCTGCCTTTTCCCACTGCAGAAGGAAATCAGCATGGGGACCGAGACTGTGGGATAGTGAGAAGTTGCACAATTGCAAAGTCGTGGTGACCCACATCCTTGTGGTGGACTGGGGCACCTGAAGGTACAGACCAGTGGCCAAGAATGAAGGGTGATGAGGGAGACTTGGGGAGACTCACCAAGGCATGGGCCAGTAGGATAGAAGCCAATTATATGGACAATAAAAGGAAGGCAGTGGTCATAGTAGTAGCAGACAAGAGGAGTCAGCTAGCATTGCTATTTGGGAGATTAGTTACATTGATCAAATATCTAAATTAAGGACATAAGTAAATATATAGAGAATAATGAGAGCCAAGTTTCTGACTATTTATAAACATGGAAAGGTTAAGTCTAGAAAGAACCCTAAGATATTGACTGGAGTTGGAGGTATGGTTTTATAATATATACACACAAATACAGATTTATGATTGTATTTATATACCTTTGTGTACACATATAATACTATACATGTATTTTCTAGGTTTGTCCATTGAGAGGGCCTACATGTAATGACACCACATCAGCAATGAGCACACTGCATGCTCTAACTGATTTCTGGATATCATCTTCAACTATAAAGATGTAGGAATCCACTGGAGAAATGGTTGATTCCAGGGCTGGGAAGGAAGAGTGAAAGCTGGGCCTGCGATATTTTGTGCCAGAAAGTAAGGACATGTTCACTGAATGATAGACATGATTAATAGACAGAAAGCCAGCTGGAAGGGTCTCACACTCAGGAGCAATTTGAGCATCAAAATAAATAATGATAGTAATGGATTACAGTCTGTTGAATCAAATACATCCATGAGCCCAAACTGATAAGAATGAATGCATGTATGAATGAATGAATGAATGAGTAAGAGAAAAAGGAAAGCTTTTCCACATAGAAAAGTGCTAATAAATATAGAAGAGATAATTGGAAAAAAGAACCACCATATGACAAATATCACAGAGGTGGAAAGTTCAGGCAGACATCATCTATAGATGCTAAAGTTGATATGCAGAGGTTTGATTAGGAATGAGATATACTGGTATATATAATCTTGGAATATCTTCCTATGAAAAACTTATTGTTTACAAAGACGAAAATGGCAAATTTTAAATGGAGAAAATTGGTAGGCACACACACAACCAGGTGATCAAGGTTGCCTTTTGATATGATCAGCTGAGAAGAACATAGCATCATTTTTATCTATTCCTGCCAAGAATGCATGATGTAAGTCCAGTCATAAGGAAATATCAGACTAACCCAGGTTGAGAGTCAGCCTACACAAGGTAGGTCTATACTCTTAAAACCTGTCAAAGACATGAGAGAAAAAGAAAGACTGAGAAAACCTGCTGAAAGAGTCTGAAAAGAAATAGTAAATGAATTTAACACATATTTCTGAATGGGAAAATGGACCATGAAGTGAAAAGAAACAGACTTGAGATAGCTGGCAAAATTTGAATGGGGTCTATGGATTAGATGATAGTATTATATTATTCAGGTGTTTACTTGGAAGGTTATACAAAAGAATGTCCTTGTTTTCACAAATACATACTAGAATATTTAGAAGTGATGGGGCATCATGTATGAAACTTGCTCTCAAAAGGTTCAGAGCCCTGGCGGGGTAGCTCAGTTGGTTAAAGCATCGTCCCCAGGGTTCCGATTTGATCCCTGGTCAGAGCTCATACAAGAATCAACCAATGAATGCATAAACATAAGTGAAAGAGCAAATTGGTGGCTCTCTCTTTTTCTCTCGATATGTATTATATATGACCAATAAATTTAAGAAAAGCTTCAGAAAAAGGCTAGAGACAACAGTTGTACAACCTTGTGAATATACAAAAAAACAACAACACCCCTCTGAATTGAATGAAGAATGAAAGAATGATAATGGGTATGTGTGTGTGTGTGTGTGTAAGAAAGGGTAGAGATGAAGCAAATGCAGTAAAATGTTAAAAATACGGAATCTGGAACATCATGCAGCCTTAGAGTAAGCTGGAATCATAGTACTGGTCTAGCATTGTCTCACTGAATGTAATTTACCAGTGGCCAGCCTCCAAATTACCACACAGTAAAAGAAAAAAGAAAAAAAAGATTCCTGGTAAAGAAGAGAGTTCTCTGAATAGTTCTGGCAACTTTTCTATAAATATGATATAATTTCAAAATAAACAGTTTCTTAAAAAGCGATTCATATGTGATTAGGAACAAATACTCTAAAAGGGGTGGCTGCCCAAAACACTAGAAATTAAAACGAAGGTGTTTAAAACACAAAAACAATACTAGTGTCCAAACAAAGGCCCTAGGCCTACAAAGAAATGTGGAGCAACAAAATGCAAACTGTAATGGAATTAGCTTTCATTCCATCTGGCACCAAAGAGTCCGGGAAAATGTTTAAATAAGGGAAAAAGGAAATAAATAATAGCTTCATCTATTCTTTCTTTTACTCTATCTCTAACCCATTTCTGGGATCCTATATTTTATTTTGTTCTTCATACCCTGTCTGCCTGCCTACTTTCCACATTTTTCTCTCTCAACTTCAACTTTGCACATATCAATCATATCACTAAAAATACCATGAAAATTGTATAAAACATGTTTTGGAGGAGACTGGTAGGTATGATGCTAGGCACATAGAAACTGAGAATGAGAAGACAAAAGATATCTCATTAAACTAAATTAAATCAAAGTCACTGTACCATACCATCCTGGATTGGAGAAATTTTATTATAAGAAATCCTTCAGAGAAATCTGAAGGCCTAGTAAAACCAAGACAATCAACCAATGATAAAGCCAATTCTGACTTCTTTACCAGGCCATGTTCACTATAAATCAGGTAGGATCTTACCTTGGCTGCCTTAAGTAACATTTCTCTTTCTTCTAAGTCCTTTCTCTGCTTCTCCAATTGATCCAGCTTTTCAAGAAATTTGAGCTGTGACCTGGTATCACTAGACAGGATGTAATTTTCACTTGTCTGGAAAAAAAGAGTCTTATGATGATCCTAGGCAACACAATCTACATTAGATATTGTTATAAACCAGCTAAAGGCAGTATCAGCAACATACATAGGGAGCTAAATTTTCAGGAGGTAATATTTTTATTTCTGTTAAATACACTTAACAAAAAAATAACTTTAATCACCTTTAAAATCTGAGAAGTAATTAAACATTTAAATTTCAAAGAGCTTCCTGTAATCTTCATTGGGAAAAGGTGGGGGGAATTAAGCCAAGTAGATTCTAACAATAAGAAGTAGAAAGCAAAAGAGTATACATTTAACTATAAATCTTTTTAGCTAAATTATTGTCTATCTGAGCAGAGTTTAATATGATTAATTAAATCTTAGGCCTAAGAAAGACAAAAACCAAAAAAAAAAAAAAAAAAAAAAATCACTTCACTGAAAAACATACCAAAGATGAAAGTTTTCACCCTTATTTCCATTGTTGGATTGCTCTAACCTTGTCAAGTGAATACAACGTCCATCAAAATAACAACGTAAGATAAAATGGCAAACATTAAGATCCTAAACCCTGTTTTGAGGATTCCCTTAAGCTATGAACGTGGGGAGACCTACAGTTAAAGAGATTAAGTATACAATTTATAAATGAGAGCCATAACAGAAGTATAATTATGTCTTAATTGTTCCATAGAACTATAAAATTTATGCTGTTTCATTTATTCTGATATTTTAGAGTATAAAACAGTGCTTTCCAATGTAAATACTTTTGGTTTTTTCTTTACCTGATATGCCAATCCATCCCTCCTTTCTAATATATATAAATATGTGTATACGTGCGGGGCAGGGGCAGTAGAGGGCAATTTTCCCAATAATATTTAAGACATCCTGCCATCTATTCACCTCAGTAATTCAGACATCCAAGCTATAGGAGAGGGATTGAGAGAGACTGTATAATTGGAAAATGGAATGTTTTAAACATTCAGTCCAATAGTCAGTACCTGGTGTGTAAATCCTGGGTACAGCACCACTCCCATCTTTGTTTTATCCCATGCTTATGGCTAATTCAATTAACTAGGACTAGAGATTTCATATGTCCAAGATTCTTTTTAAATTAAATTTTTATTGTTGGTATTTAACTAGATCAAAAGAGTATTACATAGTATAACGAACAAGGATGTACTAATGCTACTTATTTTACTTCATGTGTAATATAAAAAGAATTCTCAAGTGCTTTTAAAGTTAAATAATACAAGATAGAATATGGAATACATTATAGGCCAATCATAGAGATATAAAAATAATAACCGGTAGTTTCTTAAATACTTAATCTTTACCATTTCTGTGTTCAGATATACTGGAAATTTTACTGACAATTTAATTATTTTAAAAAGAAAACAAACAGTAAATTAAAAAGGGACACAGACTTTCTAAACCTTAACCCAATCTCATTCCCATGTTAAGATTTCTTCTTTCTCCCCCAACTTGGATAAAACCACCTCTGGCTTAATGAATACATTTTTCCTATACTTTTCCACATACAAAACATATGAGTGCATCCTCTACTCCTACTGAGTCTCCATCCTTATTTAAACAACAGTATCCCAATCTTATCACATTCTTTCCTGTCTACCCAGTGGCCTAACTGAAGTCTTCATGCGTCATAGATTATGCTGGTTTAGCAATGAAAATATAAGGACCTAGACCAAATGATAAAACCATCAAGTGAATCCCATCTAAAGAAAGCACTATAGTCCCTTTCAACCAGAAAACAAAACACTGAAGCTTCTCTACAGCCACGGACATGCAGAAGCCTATAATTTTTCTTCAGTGGGAAAACACCTGGCAGAAAGATCAAAAGCTTTGTACCTCATGTCACTTTCTACTTCTTTACTGAAATCTCAGTTTATAGACTGTGATTCACCAGACAATTATATCTAACCAGGAGAAAGATTATCAAAAGTAGACGGATATCAAATGGAGTGGCTTGCTTTTGTGAAATTCATGGAATAAAATTTCCCACACTGTACCAATAAAAATAAATCCTACCAGGGATTAATTGAAATATAAAAGACAGGGCCAAACCTGTGACACAGATTATTACAATCAAAGTTTACAAAATAAGTATAATTTTGAAGTAGATCCAAATATAACTAAATGATTATTATTTCTGTTTAACGGAGGATGATAATGTAGCTGCCTTTCTATATGTACAAATTCAGACAGTGGCATTAACTGTATTGAGGACTGAGTGTACAGAAAGGTGAGAAGGGGAAAATCAATCAGGAGAGGCAGTGTACAAGACAGAAAGTTAAGGAGGTATTAGCTTTGAGCTAATTTATTCAGGAAGGTTCCAGATGAGGTAAATACTATTCATTTTGCAAAGGGTAACTAAATCCTTGGACCATATGCTATTGACATACAACAGAAGAATTCCATCTGAAAGCTGTACACAATAGAGCTCTGGATACCACTCAGAATAGTAAACTCTACTTGGGAAAATTCTATTCCATACTAAATTGGACATGTTACATTTTGTATAGAAACTGCCCATTGTAAACAAAAGTGCACTATGTATCTCTGAAACAACAGGGTGACTGAGACAGGAATAGGGGAGAATCCAAGTTTGAAACATTCTAAGATCTTAAAAGCTATAGTAAAAAGCCAAAAAGGAAGACTAATTTCCTCACATACCAAAATTGAAGGTAAATTGTTTAATCCCTAAAGTAACCACTGAGAAAATATCTAAAAAAATATATACAAAAGCCCTGGCTGGTGTGGCTCAGTTGGTTGGAGCACTGTCCCATAAATCAAAAAGTTGTGGGTTTGGTTCCCAGTCAGGGTTCAGTCAGAGCATATGCAGGAGACAACTGGTCGATGTTTCTCTCTCACATCAATGTCTCTCCCTTTCTCTCTCTCTAAAATCAATAAACATATCTTCGGGTGAGGATTAAAAAGAAAATTAAAGCTGTAAGAAAAAAAATACATACATACACACACACAAAAGGGAATGAGAAGTACACAATAAATAGATCAATTAAGCAGACAAACAACAAAAGAAATAAATGAAAAAGAGACGAAAAAAGCCATAAGGTGTACAGAAAATACTGAAATAGCAGTTCTTCCTTACCAGTGATTACTTTAAATATAAATGGATTAAACTCCCTAATCAAAAGGTAGAGACTGGCAGAATGGATAATAAACATAATCCAACTATATACTGTCTACAAGAGATTCGCTTTAGATGAAACCACATAAACAAGTTGAATGTAAAAGATGGACAAAGATATTCCATGCAAAAAACAAACCAAAAGAAAGCAGGGGCGGGCTATACTAATATCAGGCAAGATAGACTTTAAGTAAAAAATGGTTAAAAGAGATAAAGAAGTTAAGACAAAGGAGTTAATTCATCAAGAAGATATACACACTAGAGCGGCCAAATGTATGAATCAAACATTGACAGAACTAAAAAGTGAAACAGTTCAATAATAATACCTGAATTCTTCATTGCCTCACTTTTAATAATGGGTAGAATACCTAAACATATGATCAATAAGGAAATGGAGAACACAGTAAACTAACTAGATTTAGTAGACATATACAAACACTTCACCCAATAACAGAATATACATTCTTCTCAAGTGCACATGCAACATTCTTCAAGACAGACCGTAAGGTAGGCCACAAAACAAGCCTCAATAAATTTAAAATGATTAAATCATACAAAGAATCTTCTCTGGACACAATAAAATGAAATTAGAAATCAATACTAGAAGGAAAACTGGAAATTTCACAAATATGTGGAAATTAAACAACAAATTCTAAAACAGTAATAGTCAACCTTTTTCATCTCATGGCACACATAAGCTAATTACTAAAATTCTGCCGCACACCAAAAAATATATTTTTTGCCAATCTGACAAAAAAAAGTAGGCATAATTTTGATTCATTCACACTGGACGGGAACTGTTGTATCAGCTGTTGTTGCTTTTTTATTTGACTATCTACGGGAAACGAGGTCAGTGCCTCTGACTAAATAATCAGATATTACATGCTTTAAAATTTTTTGCAGTACACCTGTTGAAAATCCCTGCTCTAAAACCACCAGTGAATCAAAGAAATCTCAAGGAAAATTAGAAAAGGATGAATGAAAATAAAAACACAATGTATCAAAATTTATTAATGCAGTAAAGCACTGTTCAGAGGGAAATTTATAGCAGTAAATGCCTACATTTAAAAACGAAGGTCTCTAGCCCAGCCAGGCGTGGCTCAGCATCAACCTAGGATCCAAGGGATCAGGGTTCGATTCCCAGTCAGGGCACATGCCCAGGTTGCGGGCTGTAGCTGATCAATGACTCTCTCATCATTGATGTTTCTATCTCTCTCTCCCTCTCCTTTCCTCTCTCTGAAATCAATAAAGATATATTTAAAAAACAAAGAATTTCAAAAAATAAATAAATAAATAAACACGAAGATCTCAAATCAGTAACTTACTTTTTACACCTTAAGGGAACTAAAATCAAAATTAAAGTGGGATCATTACTGAGCTTACAGAAATAAAAAGGGTTATAAGAGAATACTATGAACAATTATATGCCAACAAATTATATAACCTAGAAGAAACAAATTCTAGAAACATGCACCAAAGAAATACCAATATTGGTTTTCTAAAGCTTTTTCTTCCAATAATCACATATTTTAAAGTCAGTCCAGCAAATTCTGACAAAGATTTATACAAGTGAAGACCTCAGCAACTATATAAATAGCCCTTCCAACGTTCTAAATGAAGCAGAATGGAGAGAAAACACAATGATTCCTTCAGGAAAGCTACCGGTGGTAATGGTAGCTAATACTGCTCTGGATGCCTTTTAATATAGCTAGGACATCATCACAATGACCATTCCTGCAAATTCAAAACCTCATGAGGTTACCCACACGCCATATTATACAAAACCTAGATATCAACATTTCTTGATATAGGGGGAAAAGGTTTATCTTTTATCTTTTTTATTTTTGATTCCTTATCATCTCTCCCCCAAAACCATAATTCAAATAAATCAAGGGCTTTCATCTTGATGATAGCAAGTGATTTGGTTCACACCATTAGGGACAGACAAGCCATTCTTGTATTTAATTGTTTTATATATAAAAGTAGTCAACAATAAGAATGAGTGTCATCAGTATTAGCATTCAAGGCAATCATTGACTTATTAAAAGGAACAGGAATGTTAGCAGAATATAGATCACCTTAGAGAACAGGGCTAAACAATATTCTATTCTAACATATCTTCCTTCCCAATCAAAAGCTTTAGGAGGAGAAGCCTCAGGCAGAACAGATGCATATTTCAATTTAAACTGACACAGAAGCTTTAGATATCATTTTAAACTCTATTTTAATTTTATTTGTCATGTAAGTGAATCTAAATAAGGCAAATCAGGAATGAGACTTTGATTTTCAACCAACATGAAATAGGTCTCAACCATTTTCTTTAAAAATATACTTAGAATATAAATCCATACAAAAAAGCTACCCTGAACATGACAAAGAAGAGAGAGGAGTCTCTACTTCTCTGATGATTTCCTTTACCTTGTAAGTTGTCATTCGATGCTGAGCAATTGTTGTCAGTTTTTCTAGAAGGCCTCGCAATCGCTCCTGTGTTGCATGGGAGATCAAATTCACAGCATCAGAGTTAAGTTCCGTAATGTCATGCCTTTTACCTGTGGAAGCAGAGAAAATCCATTACGTGTTTTAGTGGAGGCTGATAATTGAAATAATTAGCACAGCAGGTATTCTGTTCCCCCTGGAAGTCATACCCATTATGAATAAAGGTTTGGAGATTATGATTTTCCTGGTAAAGTCACAACTTCAAAGATCTTAGACATTATATTAATAAAACCTAGCCTGAAGCCTCAGAAAATATAGACATTGTTTCACTTAGCCTCTAGAATCATTCTCCTTGCAAGGTCATTTATAGGACAAAGTTAATAAGAACACAAATCAAGTCTAGCGTTCAGAGAGAAAAATGGTAACTGCAGAAATCAGTGCTGTATTCTGTTAATTTTAGTAATTAAAAAAAATAGAAAATTGCATTTAGTCCTATTTGACACTGTTAACAATTTATGACATTTCAATGAATTCAGATTGTGAGTCTCTGTTAATGCCTTGTCTACAGGCATACCTATACTCCTTTTGTCCATTACCAATCATGCTTATGTTCAGATAAACTGACCAGTAATTAGCTTACAAGCTGAAATGGGTTCAAAGCCTCGTCATTTCAGCCATCCATTTGAATAACTTCTTTTTCACCATATCTCCTTCCATAAATAAACCAAACTTTTCTTCCTTTTGCTAACTAGGAATAAACTTTTAGGAAAACAATGTGGAACACATACCAAAAGGCAGAAGTTCATTTATAAATCAACCTTACCACTATTTAAATAGTAATTCTCCAGTGTAGTGAAACCACCCATATCAACAGAGACCAAAACCTAAAGACACAAGCAATTAGGTAGTCTAATTTTAAAAAATGTTTTTATTGATTTCAGAGAGAGGAAGGGAGGGGGAGAAAGAGACAGAAACATCGGTGAGAGAGAAACATCAATCAGCTGCCTCCTGCATGCCTTCTACTGAGAACAGAGCCAAAACTTGGGCATGTGCCCTGACTGGGAATTGAATCGTGCCCTCCTGGTTCATGGGACTACGCTCAACCAACTGAGCCACACGGCCAGGCAGGCAGTATAATTTAAATGAGCTTTTAATAGTGTTGTGTTTGTTTTGAAGATATGCCTATACACAGAAATTTTTAAAGTATCACTTTGATTTTGCACTGTAACTGAAATGTACTTATATACTCATCAAAGTGTGAATGAGTATAGCAAAAATAAACTTTAATAAAAGCCAACAAATCTTCAATTTAATTCAAAATGCGGATTACAGTAAACCAGACGGGAAGAAGATTTATAAAATTATCCAGCTTCTCCTAAGCCAAATCTTCAAAATGTAGTTTATTACTTTCTAGTAAAACAGAATTCACCATCAATTTTAGATTTAAGAGGGGAAAACACACTACCAAGTCAAATCAACTTTATTACAACAATCTGCATAGCCTGGCTGGGGGTGGCTCAGCGGCTGGGCGTCGACCTAGGATCCAGGCGATTGGGGTTCGATTTCTGGTCAGGGCACATGCCCTGGTTTTGGGCTCGATCCCCAGTCAGGGGCGTGCAGGAGGCAGCCAATCAATGACTCTCATCATTGATGTTTCTATCTCTCTCTCTCACTCTCCCTTCCTCTCCCTGAAATCAATAAAGATATATTTTTAAAAATAAATAAATAAATAAAAATAAAACAGTCTGCATAAACAAATAGTGGGGGCCTACTACCGAAGGGACAGTACAATTTCAAAACAATCCAATGATTAAAATTATAACTACACATAGGGTAGACAGGGAATGACATGCCAGTTCATGCTTAAATTAAGACAATGAACATTTAAAAATATTTAGTTTTGAAGGGAAACTTTGAAAATAATTTTATATGTATTCATAAAACAGATAATTTATCCTGTGCAAAAGATAATATTTTAAAGTATTAGAAATAAACAAGGCTGGGATTTGTAAACAATTCCAGGGCTTAGAGAACAATCAAATGTCCTATATCGTTACTAAACCTATTTAAAAAATGACAAAGTTACAAAGTTACTACTGTAAGAAAAATTCCCACTTTTAAATGAAACACTTTCACAAAGTCAACATAACTGATTAAGGAGATCTAGTTGGTGCTTACAGGCTTGTTATGTGATTTTACAGAATGTCTGTGCAGTTTAATTTAGGTAATTACAAAGATGAGAGAACACTAGCATGTTTACTCTCCTAACATACTTAAGAGAAAAATCTTCTTCCAAAAAAATCTTTTTTGGTATATTTATAATTTCTGTTACTAACTAAGGAATGGTTTTAGTTTTTACCTGTTGTGTAAAAAGGGAATTTTACTGTAAATGGAAAACATTCCTAGAAATACATAACTCCATTCACTCTGTGGTCTTTTTTTAAGCCTAAGTAATTCATAAGTAAGTTTTGCAATTTCTCATCATATTAAATGACGTTTGTGCTTCATCAAGAACTGAAAATACAAATAGTTATCCCCAGAATTCTCCTTGCAAATGGAGGCTGCAAACTAATGTGGTCTCTTGTGTATAAAGTTTGATGAGAATACAGTCTTGCCTATTTGTTTATATACTGTCTACGGCCGCTTTTGTAATAACACCAGAGTTGAGCAGTTGTGATACAGACCACATGGCCCACAAATATTTACTGTCTGGCCCTTTGCAGAAAACAATTGCTCATCCCTGTCCTAAATGATCAAAAATGCTCTTTCGATGTTAAAAATTTTCCTATCCTATAATCAAGGCTTAAGTCAAACTAGAAATAAAATATATAAGAGGGGTAGGGAGTTGACAAAATTAAGTATCTACTTATACTCTACCAAAGCTTTAGATAATTATATGGCTATAAGGAGTTCAAATACTAGGAAATTTCCCAAGCTGTCACAGAAAGATATAGTGCTTAGGCTTGTTCAAAAATTAAAGTACAGTACAAAATACATACGCAAAGAAGAAAACAAGAGCCAGAGGTGCAGGGGAGAGAAAATAGGGGTGGAGGAGAGAGAAGTCAAGCAAAACACAAGCAAACAGAAAACAAACATTTATAATCAGCTCTTCTGAATTCCTATCCTTTGGATTACTTGTAAATGCTAGCCTTTCATGATAAAAGAAAGATAATATATACCCAACTTAAATTAAAAATTTTTTAAAAAAGTAGTAATTTGTATGGCATATAGTAGGAGCTCAAACATTTCTTTATTGAGTATTTTGAAAAGTATAAGTAAAATATAGTAATGCACTTTGTAGTCCTTAAATATACCGTGGGTTGTGTCAAAAATCAGAAACCTTTGTATTTTTGTGTTAGACGTTCAATATAAAATAAAGGTTCCTACTCACATATACTCAAAGGCCACTAACACTGGCCCCAAATTCTACATGGGTGAAGAAGACGACCTGCTCTCCAATAAGTCCCAGGGTCAGGACTCAAGAAATGAGATTAAGTCTCACACACAATACCTCTCCAGTATGTCTCTTTTTCCAGTTAATTTGAGATTATAGTCTTTCACATTAATTCAAGTTTGGCATTAAACAACAAAAAAGCTGTTTGGCTCCAGAATAAAGCTGGTATGTTCTCTTGAATTTCCTTTCACATACTGTAGCCACCTAACAGCTACTGGACCTAGAAAGAACACTAATATTCTAATTTAGTTCTTTTAAAGCAAGGGTGGGTTTGAATTTCAGGACTGAAGATAAGGAAAGGGGGAATTACTCTGAATAGCTGTGTCTTTATTCCATAAACACAAACCTGTAACCTAAGTGTGCATATACATGTCTAAAGGCTAACCAAGAAAGAAACAGGACAGAAAAAATGTATATTATATGCATATGTTCATATAAAAATATTAAGAAATATGAATAAAATGTTAACTTTTATTTTTAAAATAAAATATTTCTTTCTGTAACACCCATGAAACTTTAATTATTTCCAGTCTTATGTAAGCCTCAGAGTTTAAGGAAGACCAACCAAGGCTATTTCTTGATAACATTTTCCCTGGAACAGGCAGTCCTATCAGGTCAATAATCGTAAGCTGGCACTTACCAATGTCCAAAATTCTCTTTTGCAGAGCTCCAATGAAAAGAAATGGCTCATCTTTACATGACTGAACGAGTGTGCCAACCAATTCAGAGTTTGCTGCTAAGATGCAGGCATTTTCTTCATTGAGGTTGACTCCTGCCATGAAAGTCACATCATTGATGTCATCTTCATCTCTAATAGGAAGAAAAAAAAAAGATACAGCTTTTTGGTAGTGGCAGTGGTGGTATTTATGTGTGTGAATGATTTAAGAGAACAAAGAATTAAGATATCTCCTTATAACAAAAGAAATGATCTTAATTCATCCAAGCAAGAGAAGAATGGAAGAATGGTTTCTTCTCCTATAAGCCTTTAAAATTAATTGGTATCTCTCTCTACCCATTGTGTACATTTACTCTCAGAAAAATAAATGAGAAACAATTTTGTCTTCTAGTGCTCATCTTGCCCTTTCTTTGTTTAGCAAATGAGATATGCCGAGAGTAATTCCGAACTTATACTAAGTTATCCACAAATACCCTACAATGAAAGACATAGAAATGAAAACAGACTTCTTTGTTTTCATCCAAGATGATTAAAAGCCCTTCAAATTTCCCGAGTGCACTCCATTGTTCCAACGAAGGGCAGCAGAAATTGCCTAGTCCTCAAAGGTTCATAGCTACATAAAGGCCCCTGAGAAGAAGCTTTCTTGACTGGCTATTCTGAAACCAAATGGTTAAAACTAGTTTTGTTTTTCTGCTTCAGACATTTGGTGTGCTCCATCTGTACCAACTGCATTCCTTAAACCACAACCCTGAGTAAAGGGCTGTAAAGGGCCTATATAAAACATGTAAAATGATATACACATGCATAAAAGACATACATATAAAACACAAAATATGCCTGAGTACCTTATATTACACCAGCAAAATTAAATAGTTGTTTTTATCTAGTAGAAATGCTACATGGCTAGAGTACTACAATCAATATATATGTTTAAGGGGGAGGGAGGGAGAAAGGAAGGGAAGGAGAGAGAAAGGCTAAAATTCCTTCACGGCACCTTTATAAGAATATTACTGATTATAACTCATACACCAATGCATAACATAATTTGCACAAACATGATCATAAAAAAAGATGTTTCTCTTTATTGCATGGGCCAAATATATGGTATATCATGTAGTTTCATGTCAATAGATTTAAATTATGAACCTCCCTGTGGTAATGCATTGTGCACAGAAAAGGGAAATAAATTTTAATTGTCAAGTGCTCAAGAAATGAAGGCCTCTGATGTTTACCTTTAGAAAGCAGCACACTGGGGTGGGAAAGACTTTATATTCAAAACATACATAAGAGATGCAAAAGAAATGAAACAAAGTAAAGTGCTATACATAGAAGTTCAAAGTAAAGAGAAAGAACAATGGTCCTAGTTTTAAAAAATCAGTATCTCAAACCACCAAATGAAATATGGACTATAAATAAACCATATGTAAATTGTTGAATTCTACCTTTTCAAATACCACAGAGGTATTGTTAGAGGTATGAGAGGCCAAGAATGGTTCTAAGACTCAATTTGTCCTCTATGTAAATAAATATGCCCAGAAACATCTAAACATCTAAATTGTAAGAATGGTGGAGACCATAAAACTAAAGGTGAACCAAGATCTGAGTAAAAAAATATATTTTAAGAGATCTGAGTAAAAGATATTTTAAAAAAACAACTATCAAAGGAATAAAAAGACAAGTCACAGACTGGGAGAAAAATATATGCAAAAGATACATCTGAAAAAGGATTGTTATTCAAAATATACAAAGAACTCCTAAAAGTCAACAATAAGAAAACAAACAACCCAATTAAAAAGTGGACCAAAGACGTGAACAGAAACCTCACCAAAGAATATAGATATATAGAAGGCAAATAAGCATCTGAAAAGAGGATCCACATCTACTGTCACCAGGGAAATGCAAATTAAAACAGCAAGATACCACTATTAAACAGTCAAAATTCTGAACACTAACAACACCAAATGCTGCTGAGGATATGCAGCAATAAGAACTTTCATTCACTGCTGGTGGGAATGCAAAATGGTACAGCCACTTTGGAAGACAGTTTGGCAGTTTATCACAAAACTAAAGATACTTTTATCATATGATCCAGCAATTGTACTCCTTGGTGTTTACTAATAAAGGAGTTGAATACTTACATCTACACAAAAACATGTGCTTGAATGTTTGTAGCAGCTTTACTCATAACTGCCAAAAACTGGAAACAAACAAGATGTCCTTCAGTAAGTAAACTGTGGTACATCCAGACAATGAAATATTATTCAGCACTAAAAAGATATGAGCTATTACACCATGAAAAGACATGGAGGAAACTTAAAATATATTACTAAGTGAAGGAAGCAAATGTGAAAAGGCTACATACTGGTAATTTCAACTATATGACATTCTGGAAAAGGTAAAACTATGGAGACAGTAAAAAGACCAGTGGCTGCCAGGAGTGAAAGGGGAGGAGGGATGAGTAAGTACAGCAGAGTTTTTTGTTGTTTTTTTTTAAAAAAAAACAACTTCTTTTAATATTTCTTTTCTTCTTTTCTTTTTTTTAAAATGTCTTTACTGATCTCAGAGAGAGGGAGAAGGAGAGAGAGATAGAAACATCAATGATGAGAGATCATTGATCGGCTGCCTTCTGCAGGTCCCCCATGGGAGGTTGAGCCCGCAACCCAGGCACGTGCCCTGACCAAGAATCGAACCAAGATCTCCTGGATCACTCACTGGCTGATGCTCAACCACTGAGACATGCTGGCCAGGCTACAGAGTATTTTTAGGGCTGTGAAACTACTCTGTACAATACTATAATGGAGGATATATGTCATTATACATTTATCAAAACCTATAGAATGTAAACACTGAGTGAACCATAATTTAAGCTATGGGCTTTGGGTGATAATGACGTTTCAATGCAGATTTATCAATTTTAACGAAGGACCACTCTGGCTGGGGATATTAATAATAGGGGGAAGTTGTGCATGTGTGAAAGTAGGAGGAATTCTCTAATTTGATTTTACAGTGGACCTAAAACTGCTCTAATAAACAAAGGCCAAGCACACCTCAATGAAAAGTCTGTTCACTTCAAAGCAGAATCCTAACCAGTTACTTTATATCTATAGACTCAATTGTTTTCCTCCTCTGAAAAATGAATAACTTAGAGTAGGTGCTTTCTAAGGTCCCTACTTAGAGGGACCTTAGGAGGCAGCTCTCTTTGACCAGATACAGAACAATCACCAAGGTGTCCTGTGAAGTGAAACAAACAAAAAACCCAAGGTGCAAAATACACTGCACCTTGAAAAAATTACACAAACCCACACGTGGACATAGCATATTTCTAGAAAGACACAGAAGAAATTCTTTGGAGAGGGAAATACAGAAGCAGAGATAGGAAGAAGACTTATGCCATATTATACTTCTTTCTGCCTTTTGAATGTTGTACATTACCCAATGAAAATGATTACCGATATTTTACAAAATAAGTAAATAAACATTTAGAGAAAGAAAACTGGAGATAGAAATTAAGATGAAGTTTAGACATAGAACCTAATCCTTCCCTTACAAATAAAATCAGAATTGTACAAGGTGTAAAACACATGGCCTTCATACACATGCACACAGCACTGACTGTTTACAATCTCAGATGTGTGTCAGACACACAGGAGGGTTTCTGCATAATCCCTGTTAAGATCACACGCATGGTCTGGAGAGACCAATACCAGGCCTACTTACTACCAGTACCTAGCACAGTACTAGAATATAATAGAATTCATCCATGAGGAGATGGACCCATGGTTTTTAGAATCTTCTTGCAGCCCTTTTCTTCAAATAAGCCGGGAACTAACTGCCCAATAAGATTTGTTCTTGTCTGTCTTCCCTCCTTCTATTTGACCATAAGCTGAACACAACTCCCTCTAGTACATCTGTCAATTGCTATGGTTACAGAGGGCAACACGAGTAGAGGAAGACCCCTCCTGAGGAAAGAGGAAAAGGTGCCACAATAAATAGTACCCACGCCATTTAAAACTTTCTCTAAGTAAGGAGGCAGACTGAAGGAAAGCAAAGACAACACAACACAGTGTTATAGCAGCATTATCAATAAGGTTAAGGCAGGCGAGGACAGTAATAAAGGTTCTGATGTTGAAGCATATTTGTGATTCTGGTTTGGTTTGAATTTTACAGAAGAAAGTGAGAATCTTGGAACTGCGTCTTCAAGTCTGGTCTAACGCAGTGCCTTATGATGAAGGCTCTGTGAAAAACAATCTGTTTTGTTTTAAAAGACACAAAAAATGCCCTAGCAGGTTTGGGTCAGTGGTTAGAGTGTCAGCCTGCGGACTGAAGGGTCCCAGTTCGATTCCGGCCAAGGGCAAGTACCTTGGTCGCAGGCTCAATCCCTGGCCCCAGTAGGGACATGTGCAGGAGGCAACCAATCAATGTGTACGTTTCTCTGTCTCTCTCTTTCCCTTCCACTCTCTCTCTAAAGCAATGGGGAAAATATCCTCAGATGAGGATTAAATAAAAAAATTTTTTCAAAGACATGCAAAAAAGAAATTTAAGAGTAACTGAGAAAAAAAGGCTTCCAATTTAAGATTGTGTGGAGTGTAATAGGGGTCTATGCAGAAATGAAAAAGTATTACCTAATTATCATTAATATGTTGCATTCTGGCTTCTGAAACAGATCTAATTCTTTAGCTTTTGATAAAGTTAACCACTACTAGTGTCTGCCTTAAATCTCTCCCACCCTCTTAAGATCAATAATAGCACCAGACTACTAATTCTTCTGAAGTAGAGAGAATCACATCACTTTCCTGTTCAAAACCTTTGATGTTCCCATGAACTTGACCTGATTTCAAGGCCTTCCAGGTAATGACCTTAACTAGCTCTCTTCCCTCCCATTATTCAACTATCAACTAACTCTTATTGATTCTGGCTTTTTCTCAGGCTATTCACTTCCTGTTCTAGTTGTCAACTCCTCTTGCTCTATTATCTTTCAGCTGTCAAAGCCTTATCTATATCCCAGACCTACTTCAAATGCCTACTTTAGAAATGCTAGTTTAATTTGTTTTTATACTTTTCATGAATTTTCCAATTACTACAACTTTTGAACTTCTGAGAGCATACTTTAACTCTGTTATGGTAGGTTTTACTC